GATGGGGCTGGCAGAGGGTGTGTGGATGGAAGGATGGGGCTGGCACAGGATGGATGGATGGGGCTGGCAGAGGGTGGGGGGTGGATGGGACTGCGGAGGGTGTGTGGATGGAAGGATGGGGCTGGCACAGGATGGGTGGATGGGGCTGGCGGGGGGGTGGATGGGACTGCGGAGGGTGTGTGGATGGAAGGATGGGGCTGGCAGAGGGTGGGCGGGTGGATGATACCACAGCAAAGCAGACAGCTCCGAGCCCTCTCTCTGTGCCTCGTGCCGTGCAGACCGAGAACTTCCTAGGGCCGGATCCCACGCCGTCCCCTCCCTGCGCTCTGCCCCGGCTGCTCCATGCGCCTGGGATCTCAGCCCGGCCCCCGCTGGGCTCCTTGCCGCCGGCCAGAGGGCAAAGGGCCTGGCCAGGAAATCAGCTGGGGATTAATGCTAAGGACCTTAGTTCTCCGAACTGAACTGAGCCCCTTATGTAAGAGCCCCACGGAGGTCCCTCGTGGCCAGCACGTGGGGGCTGCTCACGGAGGCCTGTGGCTGTTTGATCTTGGGGATCCCTGCCCAGGTGGGGGTGAGGGGCCCTGAACCGAAGCCTGCGGGGGCCCTGGGCCCCTCCGAGCATGTGCACGGGGTGACTGGCTCCTGTTGTTAGCCCCGGGCGGGGGAGTGGGTGTAAACATGCCAGACCCATCAGCTGCCCCTCCGCCTCGCCTGGCAGAGCACCGCCTTGGCACAGCTGGCCGCTGCAAGGGCTGGTCCCCCTGTGGGCATGGGCTGCGCTCAGCTGGGACCCAGCATCTGGCCGCCCCTGTGGGCGGCTTGGGGAGGCGCCGGCTGGTCGATCGGGGTGGCTTTAATCTCTTCACCAGGGTGGCCAGTGAATTGCTGAACCCAGATAAATACATTTCTCTCCACTTCCCCCTCTGTTCCCTTTTTCCTTCTCTTCCTCCGTTTTCCCGTTCCCTTTTTCCTCCTCCGCCTTTCCCTAGGGAGGATGTTTTCTCAATTATTCTCCAGCCCCCTCTCCCCTCGCACGCTTTCATTTTCTTTTTCTCTCACTCTTTCTTCCAGACAGGATTTACTTTGATTTGCCCTCCCCTCCATCCCAGTCCCTCTCTCCTCCCCTCCGTCCCAGTCCCTCTCTCCTCCCCTCTGTCCCAGTCCCTCTCTCCTCCGTCCCAGTCCCTCTCTCCTCCGTCCCAGTCCCTCTCTCCTCTCCTCCGTCCCAGTCCCTCTCTCCTCTCCTCCGTCCCAGTCCCTCTCTCCTCTCCTCCGTCCCAGTCCCCCTCTCCTCTCCTCCGTCCCAGTCCTGCTTTGACCTCCCCTCTCTGGGTTGACCCTCCACCTTTGACGCTCTTCCACCCCGCACAGAGTGGTGCTCGCCGGGCGGGAAGCAGCCCACCGATCCACGTGCGGGTCCGCACAGATGTCTCACCGTGCAGGGCCAGAGACACACGCGTGTTCACGCTCCTTGTGCGCACACACGCCCGTGCCCCACCCGCCCGCACGGCCCCACGCGCCCGCCCGCAGATGCCCTCCCACCCGGAGCCCAGCTGCCCCTCCCTCCCTCCCCCCATTGGCGCTCCCACCCGCTCGGGACCCCCTAAAGACGCCAGCGGCGGAGCCCAGGGCAGACTGGGGCTGGGGCTCTGGGGTGAGCCCCCCCCCAGCCCCGTTCCTCCCCCTCTGGGCAGACCTGGGGCTTTAAGGAGCTCCCAGCCCCTGGTGAGTTCACTGGCTGCAGCCTGGATTGGCCCCTCCCCGGCTGGCCCCCCCACCCAGCCCCCCACCCCTCCCCACCCCTCTTCCAGCCTTCTGGGGAGGCTCATTGCCAGAACCTAAGTGTCAGGTCGGCAGATCTCCCTCCCCCCTCCCTATTACAGCATGCACGCCAACCCCCCCGCCATGCCCCAGCCATCCCAGCCCCAGCTCTGCCCGCTGATCTCCCTGGGCATGCAACGTGGGGGGCGTAGAGACACCCCCACACACACCTTGTCACCCCCCGCCCGCTGTTCTGTTGATCCCCCCCCGTGTGCAGCTCTATAGTCCAATAGGACCCCCCTTCCAACCCCCCCCCCGAATCCACCCCCCCACGGTCCCTGCTGACCTGCATGGTCCCTGTGCTTGCGCCCCAGGCCAGATCGACGTGTCCGAGATCCAGCAGACATTCCACGGCCTCGGAGTCTACATCTCTCTGCAGCAGGCAGAGAAAATCCTCCAAAGGTGAGACCAGGGGCCCCAATTCCCCCCCCCCGGGCTGTACGCCCCCAAACCCTGCCCCCGCTGTCTGCTCGCAACCCCCATGTGCCAAACAAGCTCCATTCGTTACTGCTGCAATCTAGCGGGGTAGAGCAGAGGGGCTGGGAGCCAGGACTCCTGGGTTCTATTCCCAGCACCAGGAAGGGAGTGGGGTCTAGTGGGGTAGCTGGGAGCCAGGACTCCTGGGTTCTCTCCCCAGCACCAGGAAGGGAGTGGGGTCTAGTGGGGTAGCTGGGAGCCAGGACTCCTGGGTTCTATTCCCAGCTCCGGGAGGGGAGTGGCGTCTAGTGGGTAGAGCATGGGGGCTGGGCTCCCGGACTCCTGGGTTCTATTCCCAGCTCCGGGAAGGGAGTGGGGTCTAGCGGGGTAGAGCAGAGGGGCTGGGAGCCAGGACTCTTGGGTTCTCTCCCCAGCTCTGGGAGGGGAGTGGCGTCTAGTGGGTAGAGCATGGGGGCTGGGCTCCCGGACTCCTGGGTTCTATTCCCAGCTCTACCATTGATTCACAGGCGGGAGTAGTTCTGTGCTTCAGCTGCGCCTGCCTGTCACTTGGGGATAATAAAACCTGCTTCCCCCCCGGTGGGGGTCTCGGTGTCTGAGCGTCTGCACAGCCACCTGTGTCCCTGGGCTGGTGGGGGCTGGCGCAGGCCAGCGATGGGGGCGGGGGGGCAGGGCATGTGAACCCACCCTCACCCTGGGCGCGGCTGTTGTCTGCTCGGCAGCATGGACAAGGACGGCACCATGACCATCGACTGGCACGAGTGGAGAGACCACTTCATCCTCAACCCGCTGGAGAACATGGAGGAGGTCGTCCACTACTGGAAGCACTCCACGGTGAGGAGGGGCTAGAGCCAGTCCCTGGCCGGGAGCCCAGACTCTGCTCCCCAGCTGGGAGCTCCCGGCCGGTCCCTGGAGACCCCCAGGTACCCCTCACCGCCCACCAGGGGCTCTCACTGCCCAGCCAATGCGCTCCAGCAATGGGCCGGATCCTATCTCCACCGGGCACTAGGCCGAGACCCACCCGCTCGTGTCACCAACCCAAGGGCGCCTGGCTGGGCTGGAATAGGACCAGCAACCCGGATCCCAGCAGTTGGAGGGACAGGAGAGGGGCTAGGAATCCGGACTGCTGGGTTCTCTCCCCAGCTCTGGGAGGGGAGTGGGGTCTAGTGGTTAGGGCAGGGGGCTGGGAGCTGGGACTCCTGGGTTCTCTCCCCAGCTCTGGGAGGGGAGTGGGGTCTAGTGGTTAGGGCAGGGGGCTGGGAGCAGGACTCCTGGGTTCTCTCCCCAGCTCTGGGAGGGGTGTGATGTCTAGTGGCTAGAGTGGGGAGCCGGAAATGGGGACTTATGGGTTCCGTTTGCGGATCTGTGAGGGGCATGCAGTCTAGTGGGTTAGGGCAAGGTGGGGTGGAGGGGCCGGTGGCAGTCAGGACTCCTGGGTTCTATTCCTGCCACCAAGGTGCGGAGCGACTAGTCTCCTTGCTCTGGGTTCTGTCTGCGGCAGAGGGGACCACAAAGCAGCTCAGTGATTCAGACCGAGCAGCCCCCCTACCCCCACCTCCTCCCCCGGGGACCTAACCCGTCCCTTTGCCCGATCCCAGGGAAAAGGGGGCAACAGCCCCCTTCTTAGCAGGTGCCCGGAGGCCAGGGCAGCTGGGAGGAGGCCAGGGCCGTTTCTCTGCTGGGCTAATCTCAGCTGGTGATCAGCAAACAGGCTGAGATATATTTAACCCTGATTTATGAGCTGTGGAGAGGAGGGGATCGCTCCAGCGTTGGAGCTGAAGGCTGGGAGTCAGGACTCCTGGGTTCTATCTCCAGCTCCAGGAGAGGAGTGGAGTTACAGCGGGGGGCTGGGAGTCAGGACTCCTGGGTTCTATCTCCAGTTCCAGGAGAGGAGTGGAGTTACAGCGGGGGGCTGGGAGTCAGGACTCCTGGGTTTTTTTTCTTGTGCTCGGGCAAGTCCCTGCCCCGCCCCGTGCCTCAGTTTCCCCCACCCCATAAAGGCAAGCGGCGGGATGAGCTAGAGGGCAAAGCTCTGTCCAAGTCCCTCCCCCACCGCAGAGCCCCCTAATCTCATTAGAGGGATTTCTAGGAGGCTTTATTGCCTGCCCTGCCCTCCACATCCACTCTCACCTTCCTCCGCTCGCCCTGCCATGGAGGAACCTTCCTCAGCTGCAGGGGATCCGGCTGGTGCGTGCCGCACCGTGATCCACAGGGCCGCTCTCGGGGGGCTCCCGGTGCTGGCCGGGCTGTGGGAGGCTGAGCAGAGACGCCCCCGGGGCTTGGAATCTATCCTGGGGGATCCCCAACGGGTAGGACATTCACCCGCAACTCGTCCATCCCCCACTTCCTGCCAGCTGGACTCATTAAACAGCACCAGCGTGCTGGGAGGCAGGACTCCTGGGTTCCCAGCTCTAGGAGGGGAGTGGGTCTAGTGGTTAGAGCAGGGGGAGGGAGGAGGCGGGGGCTGAGAGCCAGGACTCCTGGGTTCCATCCCTGGCTCTGGGAGGGGAGTGGGGTCTAGTGGTTAGAGCAGGGGGACTGGGAGCCAGGACTCCTGGGTTCCATCCCTGGCTCTGGGAGGGGAGTGGGGTCTAGTGGTTAGAGCAGGGGGACTGGGAGCCAGGACTCCTGGGTTCTATCCCTGGCTCTGGGAGGGGAGTGGGGTCTAGTGGTTAGAGCAGGGGGACTGGGAGCCAGGGCTCCTGGGTTCTATCCCTGGCTCTGGGAGGGGAGTGGGGTCTAGGGGGTTAGAGCAGGGAGAGGTTAGAATTCAGGATTCTATTCCCAGCTCCGCCACTGTCTCCATGTGCGACGCTGGCCAGGTCCCTTCCCCGCTCCATGCCTCAGTTTCCCCATCTATAATGGCGACGATCCCCTACCTTGGCAAGGCGCTTGGCAATCCGCCTGAGCACAGGACTCAGTCAATAGGAAGCCGTGTTATTCGGGCTCCATGCTGCCACAGGGGCGTCTCAGGGGCTTTGCGCACCTGAATTTTTAATGCTACCGGAGGCAGGCTCCGGACCCGTTGCTGCATGGCTCTCGGCGTTCGTGGGCTCCCTCGGCATGCGGGCCCAACGGGTGGTGCCCGAAGGAGACTCCTGGCCCGCGGCAATAGAAATGGCTTAAATCCTAATTCTGGCTCCCCCAGGAGGGGAGCAACCTGGCTCTGTATGTAGGCTACTAGTCAGTGCCTGGTTTGGGGGTACAGTAGCATGGGGGAGGGAGCCAAGGGCCATTTCCTGCTGCTCAGAGGTGCCAAGCCCCTGTAACTCAGCCGGAGCTCAGATTCCCTGGCCCCCCCGGACCCCCCAGCTGCAGGTGGCTTCCCGTTGGCAGTGAGTTGGCTCCCAAAGGGCCTGTGGGTGGCTGCAAGGGGGAGCTGACTCAGAGCCAGGGCAAGGAGGTGATTCCCCCTTGGGGGGGCCCAGTAACTGCCCGCGGAAGGGGGAGAGCCAGGGTGGGGACGGGCTCTGGGGGTCCATTAATACCGGCCGGTAGCCCCTGTTATCAGAGCGCCCCCGCCCCGCTCGCTCGCCTCCCTGGGGGTGTGAGGCGTGACGACCGGCCGAGCTAAATTAAACCCGACCTTGGACAAGCCGCAAGGCTAGCGAGAGACCGGATTAGGTGATGGTGTCGGGGGTGGGGGGAGAATTTCCCTCTAGGGGGCCGGGTGCTGATCCAGCCCCAGGGCCGGAGGGTGGGGGACTGGCTGGCTCACGGGGGGCAAGGAATGGGCCATGGGGCGTTTCCCCTCTAGGGGGCGCTGCCTCCAGGCTGTGGTACCCAAACACCATCACCTGCCGTTGGCCTGCCCGTAAGGAGGTGCTTGGTTCTCAGCCCATTCCCCAGCTGAGGGAACGTGTCGCCCTCACATGGCATCAGCCCAGCGCCAGCTGCCGTGCCGGGGACCAGCCTGCTGCTCCCCCGCGGGCACCTCCGTGCTGAATTGTACACGGCCTGACAGCTAGAGCCCTGGGCAGGAACTCGGGACACCTGGGTTCCGTTCCTGGCTCACCCTACTTGAGCAAATCACTTCCCCCAACCTCTGTGCCTCAGTTTCCCCATCTGTCAAAGCGGGGTAAATGTTACTGGTTTCCCTTGTGAAGCGCTTTGCGGTCGGCTGCTAACAGCCAGGGGGGACTGTTCTTCGGGTGTTTCCTTCCAGGGCTTTGCACGGCCCTTGGGGTTCTGGTTCTGATCCGCTCGTCTCTCCTGGCAGGTCCTGGACATTGGCGAGTGCCTTACGGTCCCTGACGAATTCTCCGAGAAGGAGAAGAGGACGGGGATGTGGTGGAAGCAGCTGCTCGCGGGCGCCATGGCTGGGGCCGTCTCCAGAACGGGAACCGCCCCGCTGGACCGGCTTAAAGTTTTCATGCAGGTCAGTAAAAAAAGGCTCCCAACTCATTGTTCGGGCCGTGGCTATAGGGAAGTGGGCGTTATGCACCTGAATTGCCTGGCCCTGCAGTGACACCCATGGGCATGGGCAGGGGTGGAATGTAGCAGCCGCTGGGCACTGGTACAGCACGGCACACCTGATGGCTGCCCTCCCCGGGGGTGCCACAAATGCACCCCATAATTCTGCATGCAGTTCTGGGGCACCCCAGCTCCAAAAGGACATTGCAGAAGGAGAGGGGGTTTGGAGATGGGCAGTGAGACCGATCGAGGGCCTCACCCCAGAGGTGGCTGCATTTCAGCACTGAATGTGCAGGCTTGGTGCAACATTGCTGTGCAGGTGTTCACCAGCTGCCGCGCGCCACCCCAGAGGTGGCTGCATTCCGCAAGGCCGGGGTTCCTAACCAGGCTGGGCATCCAGCCCCTCCAAGGCAGGGCACCGTCCCCGGGCACTCATGCTGCGGCATCTCCGGCGCAGGTTCACGCCTCCAAGACCAACAACATGAATGTGTTTGGGGGGCTGAAGGGCATGATCCAGGAGGGGGGCGTCCGCTCGCTCTGGCGCGGCAACGGCATCAATGTGCTGAAGATCGCACCTGAGTCTGCCATCAAGTTCATGGCCTATGAGCAGGTGGGTGCCGGGGGCACAGAGCCCCGGGGGGGGAGCAGGGGGGAGGAGTACAGATACAGGGATGTCAGGGTGTCTCCACTCCCCTCTCAGAGCTAGGGAGAGAACCCAGGAGTCCTGAGTCCCAACCCCCCTAGTCTAACCCACTAGACCCCACTCGTCTCCCAGAGCTGGGGACAGAACCCAGGAGTCCTGGCTCACGGTCCTATCCCCAAACGCAGACCGCTTCCCCCCTCCCCCAGAATATCTTTCCTGTGGGACTACAGCCTGGGACCCCATGGTACGACCCAGCCCCTGCCTTTGCTCACTAAAAGGTGGGGCGGGGATCGCAAACTGGAAAATGCCTTCTGGGCACAGGCGATTGATCTGCAGTTTCTCATCCCAGATCAAGCGGGCGATTCGTGGGCAGCAGGAGACGCTGCGGGTGCAAGAAAGATTTGTGGCCGGCTCGCTGGCCGGTGCCACTGCTCAGACAATCATCTACCCCATGGAGGTAAGCCCCCCCCCCCGCCCCCCCGGACACTGAGCCACCTCTAGGGGGCACCAATCCAGGGTTTGCATCCAGTGCGGGAGCTACAGCCCGGCCTCCTTGAAAGCTCCCCTGTCCTGTATGAAAGCAGGGACTTTGGGGTGTTATCGAAGTTAAGGCCTGGGCCTGCCATTCAAGAGACCTGAATTCAGGTCCCAGCTCTGCTACTGACTGGCTGTGTGACCTTGGGCATGTCCCTCAGCCTCCTTGCCTCGGTTTCCCTAGCGGTACAATGGGGATAATAGCAGCAGGAACAATGAGGGCACTGAAGATTGGGAAAGGTCAGAGACTGCAGTAAGGGGATAAGTACCCGCTCGCTGTGAGGGACTCGGCAGGGGGCGCTCTCTCTCGGACTAGGCACTCGAGAGTTCTGTACTGCGGGGGAGCGGGAGCTCTGAGCCAGTGCCGATCCAGATGTGGCTATTGCTCAGTAGGGGGCGCTCTCTCCTCACAGTCAGTGCAGCACTAGGGGGCGCTGTGCTGCAGGGTGGGGGGCTCAGGAGGGGGCACTCTCCCCTTGCAATCAGGGCTGGTCCCAACGCCCAGCGTGACGCTCGGGGGAAATGTGCCTTTCACATGAGCTGAACGACCTCAGGCTTGCGTGCTCATGGTCATTAAAGAGATCTTATAGGAATGGCTATTGGGACATTAGCACCAGCGCCCAGGCCAAATCCCAACTCGAGAAACGTCGTTCTCTCTCCCTCAGTCCTTCCGGTGATTCCTTATTTCAGTCCTAAGCTGCTCTGTCAAACAGTTTTTCTGCCCCACCCCAGAGGTAGCTGCATTTCAGTATTGGGTGCGCCCGTGCTATGTGGTTGCTAGTCAGTGGTCGTGCCCCACCCCAGAGTTGGCTGCTTTTCAGTATTGGCTGAGCCATTGCTACGCTGCTAGCCCGTGGCTCTGCCCCACCCCACAGGCAGCTGCATTTGAGTGGCGGGCAAGGGCCCCTTGCCATTCTCACGGTCCTGAATGAATCTGTTCCCCCAGGTGCTGAAGACCCGGCTGACCCTGCGGAAGACGGGTCAGTACTCGGGGGTGGCCGACTGCGCTAAGAAGATCCTGCAGAAGGAGGGAATCCGGGCCTTTTACAAGGGCTACCTGCCCAACGTGCTGGGCATCATCCCATACGCTGGCATCGACCTGGCTATCTATGAGGTCAGGGCCTGCGGGGGCACAGGCCTGCAAATGAGGTGGAGGGGGTGGAGCCTGTTTGCCGATAGGCTCCTCCCCCACCATTGGGAGTAGGAGTCTGAGAGCTGAGAATGGGCGCACTTGTCACATGCTGGAGTCCTGACTTCCAGCCCCCACCCCCCCCACTCTAACCACTAGACCCCACTCCCCTCCCAGAGCTAGGGGTGGAACCCAGGAGTCCTGGCTCCCAGGCCCCTGCCACTCTAACCACTAGACCCCACTCCCCTCCCAGAGCTAGGGGTGGAACCCAGGAGTCCTGGCTCCCAGGCCCCCCTGCTCTAACCACTAGACCCCACTCCCCTCCCTGAGCTAGGGGTGGAACCCAGGAGTCCTGACACCCAGCCCTCCCGCTCTAACCACTAGACCCCACTCCCCTCCCAGAGCTAGGGGTGGAACCCAGGAGTCCTGGCACCCAGCCCCCCTGCTCTAACCACTATCCCCCATTCTCTTCCTAGAGCTGGGGGTGGAACCCAGGAGTCCTCACTTCCAATCCCCCTGCAGCCCCCCATCCCTGGCAACTCCCATCCCTCTGCTGTAGTCCCTCCCCGCCCCCCCGGCATCCATCCACCCCCTCATCAGCTCTCCTCTCCTCCCCCTCCATGCAGACGCTGAAGAACATGTGGCTTCAGAAATACAGCAGGAACACAGCGGACCCTGGCATCCTGGTGCTCCTGGCCTGCGGGACGATGTCCAGCACCTGCGGGCAGATCGCCAGCTACCCCCTCGCCTTGGTGAGGACCCGGATGCAAGCCCAAGGTGAGATCGGGGGACATGCACTTCCGTGGGGCAAGGGGCAAGTGGGAGTTTAGTGCAGGTCAGCTGCAACACTAGGACGAGCCGTCCCAATGCTGCATGGCTGTGCCCAGGTGCCTCACCCCAGAGGCAGCTGCATTTCCATGCGGGGCAAGCCATCCCTTTGCTGCGTGGCTGGGTCCCAGCTGCTGCGCAATGCATTCACCATATTTGGGGCCCTCTGCCTGGCTCCCTGTGTCAACAAGAGCAGCCTTGGGGCTGCTCTAACTTCTGCTTCGCCCCGTGGGCCCTGGGGAGCAGAGAATAGCTGTAGCACGGCATACTCTGGCAATGCCCCCGAGCCCCCGCTGCATGGGGGGCTGGGAGCACGGCTGGGGCAAGGCTCCCTAAAAGCTGGGAGGGGTAAGGTGGAGGTGACAGTGAGTGGCAGGACCTGACCGGGACCCCTTCTCCCCCCAGCCTCCATCGAGGGCGCCCCGCAGCCAACCATGCTGGGCCTCTTCAAGCACATCCTGTCGCGGGAGGGGGTGCTGGGCCTGTACCGGGGCATCGCCCCCAACTTCATGAAAGTGATCCCGGCCGTCAGCATCAGCTACGTCGTCTACGAGAACATGAAGCAGGTGCTGGGTGTGACGTCCAGATGAACCCGCCGGGGCCCGGATGCCCCTGCCCCACCGCTTGCCCCCCGCCCCCTCGCTGCGCTTTGGAGGCTGATGGAGCAGGATCGGGGCCGGGATGCGCGGCGGCTCCGGATCCAGGAGCGTTAAGAGGGACGCTGAGAGATCTCAGCTGGACCCCCCACACACACGCACCTGCTCCGATGCAGGAGGTCTGAGCCAGTCCAGAGGACCAAACCCTGGGATCTTGCCTCCGAGCATGACCAGAAAGGAGAACCCCTCGCCCCAACTCTGCCACTCAGAGCATGTCTGCTGGGGGCCCCCTTTGCCAGGGGGTGGGAGCTAGGAGCAAACCCAGGGCGTTTGGGGGCGGGATTAATACAGGTTTTGATTAATATTAGTTTGAGACGTGACAAGCTCCCCACCCCCAGCTCTGCGGCGGGGGGCGTTGCTCCTGGAAGCGCATGTACAACTGCATGCTACGGCCTGCGGCATGGCGTGTTTCCTGCACTGGGGCCTTTGCTGCCCCCCAAGCGCTCGCTGACACAGCCCTGTCAGTGGATTCCGGGGGAGACTCCTCCAATCAGCAGCCCCGACTCAGCACTGACACTGGATCCCACGGGAGAATCCCTCCAATCTGCACCAACACTGGATCCCAACAGAGTCCTCCACTAGCCACTCCCCCTCCCCCCCCCCACAATGATACAGGACTCTAGGGGACTCACCGCCACAGTGATGCCACTGGATCCCACGGGGGGTCCCCTCCTGTAGAGAGGGTCACCCCCCAAGGAGCATTACCAGAGCCCGGCTGGAACCGCTGCCGCTCCCCCCAGCCCAGGCCCTGCACCGGGTCCCCCAAGGGGCTGCAGCCTGAAACCCACGTGCTTGTGCACGGGCCTTGCGAGACGAGGAGGCCACGTGTGACTTGCCTGGGGGGCTACCTTGAAATCAGGGCTAGCGCCAGCTCTTCCTCCCTTGCCACCCACTGTCTCTCCGCCCCTGCCTAGGCAGGGGAGACCTGGCACTGGTCGCCTCTTCCCCTCAGAGGTCTCCCCCCCCCCACACCGAGCAGATCTCCCCCTGCGCCCTGGGGCCGTGGTTGGGGCAGGGCGCGGCCCTGCTGGGGGGCAGGATGCAGGGTGAGCCACACAACGCCCGCTGGCCAGAGGGGGTGGGATGCTGCGAGGGCTCGTGGCCCCAGTGTTGCCAAGGCCAGCCCGTGGGTTACCCCAGGGTAACGTTGCCTGGGCCGATGGGGTGAAATTCCATCCAGCAGGGGGCAGTGCTGGGCATGCACAGACCAGCTGCTCTGACAGATCCCATCCAACAGGGGGCAGCATGACATGCACACGGCAGCCCCCCTACACCCACCCCTCTCTCCACACACACACACACACACACACACACACACACACGACGCCGCTC